TACATCGGCATGTGTGAAGACTGACTATACCGTTGTTCATGTAATATAGTTTTCTTATAACAATTTTCGGAACTGGATGATGGTCTTCCTCTCTTGTTTCCCCTCGAGTAACAACCGATCAGTGAAGTTGCAACTGATAAACGGAATTATTTCAGATTCAAAGTGGATCCTGGAGATCTCTCTTTGAATATAATGTATGAATTCACCACACACAAGTCAACAAAATAAAAAAAAATTCTATGCCACCATTTCTTGCTCTTCCTATCAACTTCATACAAGGATTTCAGCATATCAGCTTTGTCTACTCCTCCAATATTTTTATTATAATCCACTATCATTTTTGGACAAGGAACTTCTCTTGATATGAAACCATCAACCGTTTTTTGCTTTCTTTTCACCATGACATTGTTTATTGGGTTGTGAAAATTAGATACTAAAGTTACTGCTCGGTTATCCAGCCATTTCACACAAGTGATACCATTTTTCATCATTTTGTAATCGATCTCTCCTTTTTTCATAAGGTTATCATTTTTCAGGTCAGGCAAATAGTTCCACACGCATAGATTTTGTCTTCGGTTAGCTGCAGGAGTAAATTTATCGAACTGAAAAAGTTGTCGAAATATACTTTATGGTACTTGCCCACGATTTTTCTTGTGAGATCAATTACTACTCTTTCACCAAGTTGTTTTTCTACCAAATTATCGACCTTTCCTGTGTAAATTTGGAACTCATGAACATACCCTGAGCTACTGCCAGCTCGAATCCAAACTTTATATCCCCTCTTTATAGGTTTATTAGGCATATATTGTTTGAAGCTACATCTGCCCTTGAAACGAATCATTGATTCATCTATGGATTGATTTTCCCCAGAGTTGTATGAATTCATGAAGGTTTCTGATAAGATATCTAAGAATGGCTGCAGTTTGTAGAGCTTATTGAAATCTATACTGCCTTTTCTAGGTTGAAGGGAATTATCATTGATATGAAGATTTCCCAGTAACCAACTGAATCTGGAACGGCACATTATTGAACTTATATATGTATCTCTGAATTGTTCTTTTGAGGACCAGTAATCTTTGTGGCTGGGAAGTCTCTTCATGCCCATAAGAAGATTAATTCCAATGAAGGCTTTCAATTCCTCAATTGTTGTAGCAATGTACGGTTTTTCTTTCTGAGTAGCATAAAGATTCGTTTGAAATGTTAAATGCTCGAATAAGTTAATAGGGAAGAGATTCAAAAAAATGTCAACTGGATATTCTGACTCTTCACTAATGACAAGCCCTTCTGAACCAATGAACTCCTGGATCTGAACTGGTCGGAAGTAGTGCCTCCATACAATTTTTTCGTTTACATCTGGCACCAGATCCATCAAGAATAAATCATCATCATCGTGAGACTCCTCAAGGTTGGATTCAACTTGCGAATATTCTGGTAGATGATCAGCTCCTTCAATTGATTGCATATCATCATTTTCCGTAGCCGGCTCTGCTTGTTCTAGGTCTTCAAATATGATAGGCTGATTGTTGAAATCGTCGGGAACTCGCTCCTCATCAGAATCGTAATCGCTCACAAGAGACTCAACGTCCGAAGGTATTTCTTCGATCAACTGGTCGAACTGTTCTGTAGTTAAATTTTCCAGTTCATCGAATCTCCATTTGTTTCTTATAATGAACTTGTTGAATTTGGACGATTTAGCTGAAAATGAATATATATAATGTTGCTGGTGGCCAAGTGGTCCCGTTTGGAACCACCAAGTGTTTCGGTCGAATAGTAAGTGAATAATGATGAAATTGCAATGATGACCATCCATAACTACTTGAAAACAAACAAATAGCATGTCTCCATACTCACCACTCATTTTATAGGTGTAATGCAGCAGGAACTAACTGAACAAATGAGGATGTTATTGCTACCATGAATTACTGAACACTAATAACCTCAAAATCGTTATGTTGTCTTCATGCCATCGCATAAAATCACACTCAGCGTAGATGGCCATGAGTATCAACACTGTGAAGTCCCCCACTCAAACCACCCAAAACCGTGGAACACAATAATTGTTGAAATGGTGGTTCCACAGAGTGGTAATTTCTTGCTTGTAGTAGAGCGAAAGTGGCCCAAAGAATGTCACATCTAATGGCTGTACTTTATGGGTAATTACAGTGCGGTGGTAGACAAAATAAGACAATGCCCTTACTTTTCGCATAAACCTGGGCCTCCAAAAAATTGTGGATTATATGCCCATCTAGTATTAGCAACACTTTTTCGGTTTCTGTGGGTTTTACTGTTTCAGCAAAAAATTCAAGCCACTTCATAAAAAACTCGGAAGTTGCCCATCCATTCTCTTGAGCAAAACCAACTGAACCAGGAGGAGCATCGTCCATCAATTTGTTTTTCATGTTTTTGCGCGGAAATATGAAACAAGGCGGTAAATAAGACCCGGAAGTACTCATTGCACAAACGACTGTTAAATGCTGTCCACGTTCCGCACTACTTAATACCCCCACTTGTTTTTTTCCTTTGGTTGCATAAACCTTACAATTTTTTGAAGCAACTGTACTAAGCCCACTCTCATCCATATTCCAGATTTTTGTCGGGTTGAAATTAACTTGCTCCAAAGCTTTTTCCAACTGTTCAAAGTAGTTTCCTATTTGTACTCTATTAAAAGCACGTGCTCTGGCAGAAGAGGTTGACTCGGGTAACCCAAGAGAAATAAGTTGGATTTCGCCTCGTAAATCCCTTCAACCAATCCCAGCCCGCCATCTTCTTCTCAGAATTGAAGGAGTGTTTAATGTTATTCCGGACCGCCATTTCATATGCAAGTTTGCGTACCTCTTAAGTTGTTCATCCAAAAAACCTAGCTTCCATGTTTTTAATATGGGCAGCGAGGTGGCTGTCCAAAGTTTCATCAAAGATTGGTCTTTCCCCGCCCAAATAGTTTTTTTCTGCTCCTACGCTGAATCTATTTGTTTCCTGACAGCGTCGTCGTAAGGTTCCGAAAGGAACACTGTAGGTTTTGGAAGCTAACAACCAGCCCATTGATCCAGATTTAACAGCTCTTATTGCTTCTCTCATGTTGTCTTCGACCCATTCATGACGATTACTTTTCCGTTGGTACTTTCCAACCATGTTCACTTAAATCTGCAACAACAAAATAACTTAATGATTTTGTTACGTAACTAGCCCGAATCAACAGTATGCCAACTCGCCCGAAAACGCTTTTCAAAAAATAAGACCTATTTACTCACAACCAGTTACAACATAGCAACGGTTATACCGTAGAATTTCGAGGTTAGGTTCACAAAATCGATTTACGTTTGTTGGAATTCAAAAAGATATTGGATGTTCATGTTTTGCAGCAAGTTATAAGAGTAAATTAAACATTTCGTACCTTCAAAAAAACAAAATTGTCATAAACTTTTTTATTTATTGTCGGAAGTAGCCACAAACACATTTACCGGCTTGCACACAATGAGTAAACAGAAGGAGAAGGTTAATTGCGCCGCAAAGTTTTTAGAAGCTGAGAAAGTACCAATATGCCAACTCGTCCGGTATGCCAACACAGGCACATTTCCCCTATGGCTTCTGCAGTTAGTCCTCTGTTGAAAGAGAATCAAGGAATTTATCAAAGTGGCTTCAACGAAGTTAAAAAAATCCGATGCCACCATTTATGAGACTTTCTATCAATTTCGTAGAGGCTTTTCATCATATCTAAATGGTCAACGTTTCCCATATGAGTATTATAATCGCGAATCATCCTTGGACACGGTATATCTTCAGAAGCACCATTTTTCTTTTTCCTGGAAGTAGTCTCCATAATGGAGGGATCATGGTAGTTTCCTAGAAGGAGAACACCTCGACGATCCATCCATTTTAGTGCAGCTATTCCATCTTTCGAAACACGCCAGTCAGCCTCTCCACGTTTCATGCTTTTGTCGGTTGCAAGTTCAGGAAAGTGTTTACGCCCCTTTCGGATGATTCCACAAGAATAGATTTTTTCAGCAAGTAACTTCGCTAAAGTTCAACAGAATTAAAATAATTGTCGAAAAACAGTTTGTAGTTTTTGTCTACCAATGTTCGAGAGAGATCCATGACAACTCTTTGTCCCATTTTTTTTTCTGTTACTTGATCAGCTTTACCAGTATAAATTTGGAATTCACACATTTATCCTGTTGAATCCGCCCGGACCCAAACTTTGTAGCCTCGCTTTATAGGTTCCATAGGCATGTATTGGCGGAAGCTACTACGCCCTTTGAACTTTATCATGCTCTCGTCCACGGCTTGAAACTCGTTAGGCCTCATAGATGACAGGTAAGTTTCTTGAAGTTTAGAGAGTAGGGGTCTCAGCTTATAAAGCTTGTCGTAGTTCTGCTCACCTTTTTGAGGTTGAACTGAGTTATCGTTGAGGGGAATTTTACTCAGCAACCAAGCAAATCTATCTTTACTAATTGCGGAATTAATAAAATGATCCATCACTTCCTCGTTTGAGGACCAGTAATCTCTGAAGCTTGGTAGTTTTTTCAAACCCATAAGGATATTAACTCCCAAAAAGATTTTAATCGCCTTCGCAGTTGTTGGTTTGAAATTTCTTCCTTCACCGTATCTCTGAAATGCGTATAAGTTGGTTTGAAATACTATATGGGTAATTAAATCTTCGGGAAACAAATGCAAGAATACATCCAACGGTGTCTCAATATCATCAGGCAAAGTAGGACCAGTTGATTCTTTGAAATCACTTCGTTTCGTAATGTTGGAGACATCCTCCAGTAATCTCGAAGGAAAACATCCGGTAGTCTGGCAAGTGGGATATCATCATCGCTGTCCCAGTGTAAATTGTTATCAGTAATCACGTCGTTATTCTCGATAATTATGTCCATATTTTCAATAACTATACAACCTGTTGCCTTTCGCTTTCTTCCGGTCCTTTTTTCTTGTAGTTTGAGTTGCTTAGCATCGTTTCTTTAACAGCTTCCTTTTCTCTTTCTAATCGTCGCCACATTTCAGAGGATATTGCACTTGGCATCTTGAGTGCATTTTAATTTTAATTGCTTTTTTTGTATTGGTTTTGGGTAAACCAATACACTATTTGGTAAAGGAATCGTCACTACACTCAGAATTTTCAAGTTATTTATTGTGGAAGCAGTAGCTATCGGTCCATTTTTGGCACCATTGGTGAGCAATGAAGTATTTTTACTAGTACAATGAGAGGCAATTTCAAGCACATTTAGTTTCGTTTGATTATCTGTCAGAATATTTTCAATATTGGTAGCTTTTTCCTCACCATCTTCTGTGGACTTGCCAATATCTTCAATTTCTGAGTTAGCAGCTCCATCATTGGATATGGAAATTGTTCCACTAGTAGAAGCAGTAACATCATCACTAGTAGATTTAGGTATTATTTTTTGTACATCCACTTTGAGTTGATCCATCATCGAAATATTTTCCATATTCGACGTAGCTCCTGTTCTATCTTCAACTTTATCTGTGGAGTTGACACTATTTTCATTTGAAATGACACAATATGTTACTGGTAAGTCATCTCTGGCAGGACCGATCCTAGGGTATTGGCCGCCCGCGTGCAAATACCAGATGTGCTGCCCCCCCCAGAGAATTTTTTCTCATTTTGACTAATATTTAACGTTGACATTATAAAGTCTCAAACTCATTTTTCAGTGTAACGTCTATTTCACACATAACGATGGGACATACTCAGTGCGTATACAGCTTTGTTCCATGGGAGGGGAAGTAATTCGTGGCGCGGGGGTGACGGAAAACAGGAAAGCGCCGCTGGCGAAATTATTTTTCTGTTTAAGGTCAATTGCCTTTGAATTGATAGTTAGGCTGTAGTTTTGTAATTTTTTCGTTTTTGGGAAAAATTTGTTTAGATATTCACGTATTTTCATCGTATCCGTACGTCACAATCGTTGTGTGTGAAAGTGAAATAAGTGTAAGAAGTGAAACAAGAGTAAAACTTCAAATAAAATTTGGAAACTTTATTTTTTTGGACAGCTTATGAATATGTTAATAACAACAAAATATTTTATCAAAATAAAAACAAACAATAATATCACCTTTGCATAAAAAAAAGTTATCAAAATAAAAACAAACAATACTATCACCTTTGCATAAAAAAGTTCCAACTCAACATTCAACGAAAAGTACATAAATCTGTTGTTCAAGAGTCTACAGACTAGGTACCTAATCATTATAATTACCTACCTAATTATAAAATAACCTTTCTGGCTTTCTGAGCGGCAAATTTATCAATAATTTCCGTGAAATCTATTTTCTCACAGATTTCGGATTCAATAGAAATGATGGCCAAATCTGAAAGCCTTTCTTGTGTCATATTATTTCTCAAGTAATTTTTAATGATTTTCAATTTGCTGAAACTTCTTTCTCCTGAAGCCACAGAAACAGGGCGAAATTCGGAAAACAGGAAATGAGGTCATTTTTGACTATGATTTCTAATACCTCAATTGGCTGTTTCTTACCTGGAAAAATATCTTTGAATGAAGTAATTTCATTAAACAGTTGTATACCGTCTATATCTTTCACGATACTTCCTTCCTCCTGTACCTGAAACTTAATATCTAAGTCCATGCAGGCTTTCATGAGATCATCACTAGAAATGTTGTGAAACTCATACAGAAAACAGAATATTGAAAAGCACTCAGATACTAATGTAAATCTTTCATTTATCGAACAGGTCGCGAGATCAAGAATTGCAAAATAGAAAGAAGTCTTGAATTGCTCATGAGGATTTAAGAGGGGTTGATCACTGCCCTCGTAATCAAATAAACGGACCTTCTTCCTGGGCCTAGAATTTGGAAATTGGGGATCAATACCTAAATCTCTAGCAAGTGTTGTGGCTGATTCGACAAATATTTCAAAATTATCGTTTGATCTTTGTGAAACAAAATATTTTTTTAAATTATCTAAGCCCTCAATGCATTCCGTGATGTTTAATTTAGGATTTTGAAGCATTTTACTCAGAACATTAATTCTTGATAATAAATCATGCCAAATCAAAATTGAACACAATAATTTGAAAGACTCAAGATTTTTAATTATTGATTTTGCACCATTTTTTGTTTTCGCGTCTCTGGTGGAATCTTCAATTAAAGCATTCAATGCAGTAATAATGTTTTTGAGGTCTTGCTTTAGAGGTCTAATAGCATTGATACGACTTTCCCACCTTGTTTCACTCAATGGTTTCAAAGTAAGACTTTTCACGTATTTTTTCAGTAAATCCCATCGATATGGGGACGCAGAAAAAAAATTATATACCTCTTGTACTACATCAAAAAATCCATAAATTTCACCACTGGAGCTGGCAGCGTCATTAACGACGAGGTTTAAGGTATGAGCCGCGCACGGCACGTATAATGCTCTAGGATTGATATCGAGAATCCGTTTCTGAAGCCCTATATTTTTTCCCTTCATGTTCGAACCATTGTCGTAGCCCTGACCACGTATATCTTTAACTTCGAGCTGCAGACTAGGTAATAGTTTCTTTAATAGAAAATTGCACAGACCTTCTCCAGTGGTATTAGTTACTGGAAAAAATCCTAGAAAAAATTCTAAAATATCTACTTTACCATCAGTAGTGTTCACACATCTAATTACAAACGTTATTTGTTCTGTATGACAAATGTCGGGCGTCGAGTCGAGAATTATAGTATAATATTTGGCTTTTTTGACAATGCGTGTTATCTCATTACGAACAGATTCGGCTAAAATATTAATTATTTCATTTTGAAAATGCTGTCCTAAGTAGTGCGGGGTGCGTTGTTTTTCATCTTTGTATTTACAGATATTATTGAGGTGTTCTGAAATAACTGGATCAAATTTGGCCAACACCTCTACTGCCTTTAAAAAATTACCATTATCTCTATGATACAACTCCGTACTACTTCCTTTGAATGCTAAATTTTGACTGGCTAGAAATTGTACCACAACAATCATTCTTTCAATGATAGCGCGCCATCGCTTTTTTTCTCTATTGTAAACATTTTGTTGTTCCGCGTCAATAGTAAATTTTTTTTCCATCCTTGTCTTTATTTCGCACCACGATCTTATAGAGTGAATGTGTTTAAGAGTATTTTCATGCTTATTGAGGTAATGCGAACAATGACGCCAATCAGAAAAGCCAGTACTTACAATTTGTGTTGAATTATCCCTACTGAACAATCTACATGCAAAACAAAAAATACAATTTAGTTTAATGGAATAGCAGAGCCACGCGCGATTTATTTTCTCTCCGTTCACTAAAGTTTTGTTATAATATGAACTGCTAAATCTTCTGCCACTCTCATCAACTGGGAATTTGAAATCTGTAACTTGTTTGGAACCGTGTTCTACCAATAAATCAATATATTTTTGCGTCAAAATATTAGGCCAAGAATCTGGATCATCTAGAGCTAGTTGAGCAGAGCTCTCTTCCTGTTTGCTCTCATCTTCACATTCACTGAGAATGGGACTGCTTGATGATGATCTTGCAGCTTCATCACCTTCATCGGGTGTGAAATCTATTGATTTATTGTTCGTTCCACTAGAACTGGAGGATGACTCCGCGATTTGATTCAAACCTTTTTGTTCAGGCTCATCCGGATTTCCAAAATACTTTTTTAGTGCTCCCGCTTGTTTTGAGATTTCTTCTATTCTTCTTTTCTTCTCTTTTCTATAGAAGGCACCTGACTCTCTTTTAGTCTTTCTGATGTTTTTGGACGAGGACGACATCTAAAGGTAAAAGGTAAGATGAACGATAAGTATATCATGGCTCACAGATGCACAGATACAATGAATAGGAATTCTTCAGAAATTTTTAAATTCATCGAAATGATCTCTGTATATCTACCATTGTTGATACATTTTTTTTGCTTGAAGTGTAAGTATATTATTCATAAGAAACTCCATTCCTGTTGAAAAATTCAGAGTCAATTATTTAAAATAAATAATAATTCGTAGCGCTCTTTCAAAATCTGGGTACGAATTAAAATTTTCATAAACTTCCCCGATTGGTAACTTATATAATTTTGTAGGAAAATTATATTTTGTGCTAACGAAATCTGAAAGAATTGAAAATAAATTTCGAATTTTCTATCATTCTGTACTTATTTTCAGAACGAATCATCGCGACAAAATTAGATTAAAAATATGCCCAATTTTTTATCTAATTAGAAAACACCCTGTACAACATTTCATTCGTTCATAATTCTAGTTAAGAGCTTTGGTACTTACCACAGTTCTGATTTAAACAATACTCAACAGATACACCTTGTCACTAAATTCCACTTGCACCTGATTGTGTTTATGACCAGTGTTATTGTATGATGAATCGTAATTAAATGAACATTTTGAAATGAAAATGGTTTATATATAGTGATGAAGTAGCAAAAAAAATACGATGCCGCATCCCTTTCTTTGTCGAAACAATCAATTTCTTATCTATAAGGAAAACCGCTAAATTAAAGTTTCTTTTGACCATTGACCTGGAAGCCGCGTGCCGACTATGATATTTATTTAGTCATTATACGAAGTAAGTTGTCACAGCGAAAAAAAATTCAAAGGCGGCCGCAGCGGCAAAACCTTTGAAAGGCCGCTTCGCGGCCGCCTCTTAGTTTGGCCGCCCGCGTACGGTGCACGCGCTGCACACCTGCTAGGATCGGCCCTGATCTCTGGCATAGTTATGTTTCGTCTCTTGAGGTATTACTGAGTCAACAGCTTCAATGTTGTTGATGAAAATTGTTCCACTAGTGGAAGCAGTAGCATCATTACTAGCAGAGAGAGGTATTATCTCTAGTACATCAACTTTGGATTGAACATTGATATTGTTAATTTTGCCAGCTCCTGTTCCATCTTCTTCAACATCATATGTGGGCATGTTAATAATTTCACTTGAATGAGTACTCTCAGGTACTAGTGCGTAAATTTCCGCCAAAATACGTTGGGGTAATTGGTTATCAGTTCCTGGAGATTGTACATGTACAGGGTCTCCAAAATCATCGATCGGAATATTCAGAAAACCATACTCATCAATGTCGTAAAATCCCATCTCAGGACTTGAAGGCACAGGTGGTGGATTTTCTAAGCCGTTGAGTGACATTGGAACATCATTTTTGCGTTCTTTGTTGATTAAACAATCTTTAGCTTGAGATAATTCCTCAAGAATTATATCTACGTTAACTCCTGCACCTTCAAATTATTCTGGAGGTTTTTTATAGTATTTTCATTAAGATCATTGATAGAAAGATCACTTTCATAATTGATCATCCGATCAGATCCTGCCAACTTCTCCAACATGTTTTGTACACATTTGGTGCGTTTGGATCAAAAGGATAGAGACCGCATTTACGAAAACCATTTTGGATGGTCTTGGATAGATTCGTTTTCCCCAGAATTTTCTTCAAGAGTGGACAACATTTCGCTTTTGTCAATACTTGGTTGGTATTTTCTTCGCACATTTGCCACTGTCTCACCGTAGCTTGCCATTCCGATTTGAGCGGTTTAACCCATTAGCTCCCACGGATATTTTTTTCATATATTCATGGATTTTTTGTAATAATAAGCCCTCCCTAGTAACACAAATATTGGGAAAAATATTGAAAAATAAAATTCCTGTCAGGTTTTTGAAAAAAATTGGTGTACTCAAATGAGTACAATGGGAGGTGCACAGAAGAAAAAAAACAACATTTCGAATAATACAAAAAAGTGATTATTATCTCAAAATTGCATCACAAATCAACAATAATTATATATTGGAATGAAATTCAATGAAACAATCACGTTCAATACATAGAGTGACGTCACACTTCAGGCAACTCCATCTTGCTCGTAGGTGACATTGACGGCACCTAAGCTGTTTATAAATTTTTTTCGGAAAATGGCCCTGGCCGTCTCGTGCGATACTTTTTACAAGGGATCCTGGTCGCCTTTTCGAAAAAGTAGCCTTCCCAAATGATTTCAGGTAATGACGAGCGACATCTCTGATGAAACCAAGTAAATCTTTTTTGTTATCATTATAAGCCAACAGGTGTAATCTCCATGCATTTACCATCCCAATGTTCAGCGAATGGGTAAAAAGCGGCCACCACCATTTTTTTCCACGAATAGATATTCTATAGTTATTCACTGCTTGGTCTAGTAAGTCAACACCACCCATAGATGCATTATAACTAGCAAACAAGTGTGGCTGAGGTACTTCAATTTTTCGTTTTTCTGCCGAAGACCAACGTTTTACTTTTCCCAAGGGCTCTATGGTGTCGTTATTCGTTACCATAGTCACGATGTTATTATCTTTCCAGCGTACAAATAATAGATGATTTTTTTCCTCATATGCTTGCTGAAAAACACCACGATTCATTTTTTGCATGTCCTTCACTGAAGACAAAGGGCAATGTTTGGTCCGATTCTCTCGAACTGTCCCAGTTGCCCTAAAGTTCATATCTCTGAGCATTTTCAGCAAATCGTAACTGGAAAAGTAGTTATCGAAATAGACAATATGGTCAGAAGGTTCATCAACGCACTGAAGCAAATCTAAAACAACTTTAGAACCTAATGGTATACTATTGTCCCCCTTGTCCTTTTGTTTAGCTCCACAATATGTATCATAGTTGTAACAGTACCCAGTAGAACTACACAGCATCCAATCCTTGAATCCAAATCTCACCGGTTTTCCTTTGATAAATTGTTTACCAGAGTGGTGCCCAAAATATTTTACCATTGCTTCGTCTATTGAGAGATTTTCATGGAAAATTCCCCACTGACGAAAATTTTTATTCAGTAAGTTCATTAGTGGGCGTAACTTACACATTTTATCTGATGGATCCAGTTGGGTATTGTCAGACAAGTGTATGTACCTCTTTATTTCTTGAAATTTATTTCTAGACATACTGGAAGCAACGAATGGTACCGAAACATCATCGTCAACGCTCCAGTACATGGGTTCTCGGGGTAATTTGTGGTAGCCAGAAAGCAGCAGAATTCCTATAAAGATTTTTATGTCAGCCTCGGTTACCACAAAACTATGATAATTTTTTTGTGAGGCATAAAGGTTTGATTGCTCAACGATCAATTTTATTATATTTGCATCAAACAATCTCTCAAAGGTCTGAACTGGACTATCGTTCTTTACTTCCCCTATCATTTTTTGTAGCCTCTCTTCATAACCCTTAGTTTTGCGTGTCATACTGATATCTATGTAGTTCTTTGTCCACTTAGGCTTCTCCTCCAACTTTCTATTTCCTTTATTTTTCAAAGTTTTTGGTTTCTTGGAGAAAAGAACTGATAACGGCACGTTGTCGTCGGGGCTGTCACTATCATCGCTATCTATGACTCCTTGACTTCTGGCAGCAGCTACTTCAGATAGAGGAATTTCATCATCTGAGGAACACGGAATTTCAATTTCTCCAGGAATATCGATGGGGAAGTTAGATATACCCATATCGTTTTCATCAAAATCTTCTTCATCTGTTTGAGTGTCTACCTCAGGTGGAATAATGATTATTTCAGGATCACGGTTTGAAGAAAGAACGTCATCCATTGCTTCTCCTAAGGTTTTGAAACGTTTGCCATAAAAGCATTTCGAAGAAATTGGCTGAAAATTATATTCCATTTTGAATCCACTCCTGAAATAAAATTCCGAAATTTATCACACATATCTTCCCATTGTACCCAAATGAGTAGAGCAATGTTTTTTTTGGTTATGTGAGAAATAATGAAAAATTTATTGTCACGATAGTATAAGCAACTCTAAAACATACCTGGTCAGCTAATGAAGAATTTCAACAGACGCAGTGCAAAAAGTGACTCTTGAAAACAGGAGATGAGTCTGCACGTGTTTACACAATCTAATAAGTTGACATGATCGACATATGCGCCATCTGTGGGAACATCTCGAAATTACGAGTTTCTTGCACATTGCAGAATACTACCACGACATTATTTTGTTGAAAAATTCCAATAGATGTCGATAGTAGACCATAATTTGCAGTGTACTCAAATGAGTACAGTGGGAGGTAATGGGTTAAATACACTTTCTTACATCACAAGGTATCAGAACCCGTATATCTGTGACTGTTAAGCCATCTGATGGCCTGATAGATTTATACTTGAGCAAAGGCTTGTGTCAAATTCTTGAAGAATGTATAGGGCTTAGTTTGAACTTCATATGGATTTTTTAGTCTTGCTTCTTTGGTTATACGAGGGTAATCACTGGGTAGGTAGATTTCTTCATGTTTCATTGATGATTCAATGGCAGCATGAACTGAGTTACACTCCATTTGAGTATGACCTTTTTCTAAAAACTTTTACTCAATCACAGTTTGATATTCGTCTGAGATATATAATAAAGCATTTGACATAATGCAATTTCTATTTTGTACTGTGCAATCATCAGAGTAAATAATAATAGGAAACTTCTTGGGCAGGTGCAAAAACTGCACTTCTAAATAATCTGCCAGGAATGAGGCGTACGTTGCTGCTTGGCCATCCGCATTGGTTTCATCGTACCAATAACAGGTAGCTTTATGATCATTGAGGTTGTAGATGGTGATATTATGATTACATAATTTTGTTCTGTAGTGTAAAGTACTTGCAGCTAGACATGGGGCCAGGCTATTTGAAGCCTTAGGTCACTCCCCCACTATCTTCCAAGCTGAAATACATGCCATCAACCTTTGCGCCCAAAGGTGCCTGAGCAAAGGTCTGAGGGGTGCCAACATATATATCTGCTCAGACAGCCAAGCCGCACTTAAAGCCCTAAAATCAATTCGTTTTCACATCAAAGATTACATGGGACTGCTTTGAAACACTCATGCAACTGGGAAAGGGCAACAAAGTCACACTTATGTGGGTTCCAGGCCATGAAGGAATTAAAGGAAATGAGGCAGCTGATCGCCTTGCAAAAAAAGGTGCAGCATCTGCACTTTTTGGTCCTGAGCCTTTTTGTGGGATAAGCAAATGTCACCTAAAGGGAGAACTCGGGAAACGGGAAGACATTGAAAAGTCCTCCTACTGGAGAACAACTCCAGGTCAACGACAAGCGAAAAGGTTCATCAACCATTCGCAGAACCGAGCCAAAGAGCTACTCAGCCTCAGCAAACCAGAGCTAAAGCTTATCACAGGCTTTCTCACAGGACACGGCCCTCTGAGGTACCACCTCAAAAAGATGGGTCTGGCGGAGACTGACACTTGCCGCTTCTGTAACAATGCGACCGAAACCGCGGAACACATACTTTGCTCATGTGAAGTATTAGTCCGCCAAAGGCTGAACCACCTAGAACAGGTCTATCTCACCCCTGCTGAAGTGGAAAAGTCAACCGTCAGGAAAATCGTATGCTTCATCAGAAGTCTAGGGTTAGAGAACCAAAACTAGATAGGGGTAATCACAATAGATTTTCTAGGTCGCAGTGATCGAGAGGTCTCTCAGCCTATACGACCCATCTACAATCTACAATCTACATCTAGACATGGGGCCAATTTAACAGCCGGAACATCCATGGTTAGTACATGACACTTTCCTGCAATTGATTGTTCTTTATCATGCTGTTTAGATTCTCTAGCTGCATTCTTTTTGGCCATATCTGCTTGGTAATCATTCTCTATGAGATTATTGTTCTTATATTTGAAGCATACATCACAGAGATCTTTGCTTGGATGAAATAATGAAATTTTCATATCTCTGGCTGCTTTTTGCAAGGACATGATAGATTGGCATTTTTTGTCATTCTCTTCGCATTTTTTCACATATTCCCAATGTAATTCTGCGAACGACTGGAACTGTTGCTCTAAGTATAATCGATCAGTGTCCTTTCTACAGTAGTGTGAAGGAAGCTTATTCAATGACTTCAAACATTCTTTCAGGAACGCTGTATCATTTTCATGATAATTTCATGTTGAGCTTCTCTTTGCCAGAACTACAGAATTGCTGGTTGTCAAACCATCTTTACTTTGAAGGCACCAGTTCCTGGCCGACCATTCCTTCAAGCCAGTAGCATGCAAATACATTTTTTTGCAAACTGGCACTTTTTCATTTCCTATAGTTAAAGAGTACTGGAAACTGCTAGTGCGTCTGGATTCGTTTTCAGATTTTTTTGGCCTCTTGGTTGGTAAAGCTATCACTGATTGGACCACAAACATTTTTCTTTGGTCCCAAGACATACTGGATCAGAAGTGATCAAAAATGGCATTTCTTT